AGCTCCCCAATCCCCTGATTGCCCTGGGGCTCTGTGTTTGACAGGGTGCGGCGCCCCAACCCACCCCCCCCCACGGGCCCTGCTCTGTGCCTGATGGGGGGAGCTCCCCAATCCCCTGATCGGCCCTGCTCTGTGTGTGACAGGGTGCAGCGCCCCAACCCCCCCCGCCCCTTCCCCCCGCCGCCACGGGCCCTGCTCTGTGTGTGACATGGTAGAGCCATAACCTCTCCATCGGCCCTGTCCCGAGTGTGACAGCGGTGGCGCCCCATCCCCCTGATCGGCCCTGCTCTGTGGGTGATAGAGGATGGCGCCCCAACCCCCCTCCACGGGCCTTGCTCTGTGTGTGACAGAGTAGAGCCATAACCTCCCCATTGGCCCTGCCCTGAGTGTGACAGGGTGCAGCGCCCCAACCTGCTGATCCGCCCTGCTCTGTGCATGACAGGGGGCGGCGCCCCAACTCCCCAATTGGCCCTGGTCTGAGCCTGACCAGGGGCTGCACTTAGGGATCGGGCCTGCCCTCTGCCACCCGGGAGCAGGCCTAAGCCAGCAGGTCGTTATCTCCTGAGGGGTCCCAGACTGCGAGAGGGCACAGGCCAGGCTGGGGGACCCCCCGCCCCCCACCCCCGAGTGCACAAATTTTTGTGCACTGGGCCTCTAGTAGATTATAATAGTTTATAGTTCCATTATCATTATGTCGGAGTGTCTTTTGTCTACACTTTAATCGATACAGTGTCTTATCAAACATTTTCATTATTTTAAAATCAATGTATTATTTTATGAGAGAAATTGAAAACTTTTTACAATGTAAAAGTTGTTTATATTTTTCTTTTTATGAATTGTTTGTTCAATACCCTTTACCTTTTATTTACTTGAGTATTTCCTTCTTGTCAATTTATAGGAGCTCATGTGTAATAGAGAATTTAGTTCTTTATTATATTGTAGATATTTAATCCAGTTTGCCTTTTGACATGTTTTACATTGTTTGTGTCCTGTAATTTTTTAAACATACATTAACAATTGTCATTGACTTGTGTCAAACTCAGACAGGCCCTTCCTCATTCTGGAGTTCTAAAAATATGTTTTATCTTTACTACTAGCACTTTTCATGGTTTTATTTACTACATCAAAATTTTTAAGCCATCGGGAAATTTTTTGGGGGGTAAGGCAGAAAAATTTTCCAACTTAATTTCTTCTCCAGGTTTCCTAAAGCTATCATATTTCTCAGCCTTATAGTCAGTTATGAATCAGTACCAAAGTATTTTTCTATTGAAACAATAATATATTTTAATACCAGTTGAAGTAAGTCACTATTATATATCTATCCGGAAATTCTTCTGGTGAGTGATACTTTTTTTAATATAACCTTTAGAATTATCTAGTATTATTTTAAAGAATGGTTGTTGCAATTATTTTTCACCACAGAAAATGTATACATTAATTTAGACAGAAGCAAGATCTTTAGGATGTTGTTGTTTTCAATCTAATAATACTGTATACCTTTCCATAGTTGATGTCTTATTTCTTTCTTAGTGTTTTAAAATTTCTTCATATAATCTTTTTATGTTTTTTAATAATTTTATTCCTGGATTCCCTATCTTTTGTTGTTGTTGTTGTTAACGTGTATTCGTTGTTTTCTATTTTGTTTTTTTTTCAAAAGCTATTTTATGTAGAGAGTTTAGTGGTTTTGTCTAAAATCTGTAATCAAGCCCTTTCTCCATCCCTTGTTGCTGGCATCTACTGTTCTGCTTTCTGTCTCTGTTGTTTTGCCTTTTGTCAGAATGTCATATAAATAGAATCGTATAGGATGTAGACTTTTGAGCCTATTTTTTTCACTTAATATACTGCATGCCTGTTTGTTTCTTCATTCAGACGCTCCTCCTAGGTCTTAACAGTGTTCTCAGGGGGTCCTGAGACCAGGTTGTTACTCCCATCCTACTTTTTTAAAGAGTGATTGTGGGATTTGCCCCTTAGTAACACTATCTCCTTTGAGAACTGTTCTGTCGGCCTTCTTGTACATCTGCTAGTTTCTGAGAGCTGCAGGCATCCTCTCAGAAACATTTTTCCAGTTTACATGCATTCATCAGCCCTTCCTCTTATACTGTGGCTTTTTGATCGCAGATGTCTTCCAGTGTTAGGGAAGATGAAACTTGAATTTCTTTTCTTTTGTCTTCTCCTTTTTTTCTTTCTGAATTTCTTTCTTCCTCTGGTGTGATATTCCTAGGGCAGAGACAGTAACACATTACCTTGTAATTTTAAAAATATATGTTCTTTCATAGGTATTAAATATAAATTTCTCTAGCAAATAGCTGCTGCACTGATAATTTAGTGCTTGACTAAGGGCGAGCTGTAAGCTAAAGGATGGGAAAGCTGTTTAGAGCTGAAATGTCCCTAGTTTTAGTACATGCTAAGAAATATCTGACTTCCTTTCACTGTATCATCATTTCAGCATTTTCTCTTATGCAATATCCCTTTTGCTTATTCCATTGAGTAGTCTTTGGAATTTAATATCCATAATAATTATTAAACACATATTAAGATATTAAGTATTCATACTTTAATTATCAATTTCCATAATAACTATGTTACACATAAAAAATGTTGAGGGTCAGAGAGTTTAAGAAAACTTCTACAATGTACACAGATAGTTGATAGCAGAACTCTGTCTTAAGCCTGCATTTTCTTACTCCAAGTCTATAACTTTTTTACTACATCACCATAACCTCCACATTTGTATTTACTGTGACAGACTTCAGCTTACAAATCAAATTTGCATACATTATTTAATTGGATTCTGATAACAGGTTAAGTTAGATTGAAAGTAGGTTATGTTAACCCCATTTTACAGGTAAGGACACTTAATTTCAAAAAAGATAAATAATTTTTCAAAAGCAAAGAGTTGTTTCATAGCCAGAGCAGAAAATCAAACAGGGCTCCTAATCTTTCTTTTAAATGATAGAACATCATAATCATTTTTTGCATTAATAGTGATATATTCTGATTTAAAATTTTATGAGTATTTTTTCTTTTGGGGGCCATTTGAAACTATTTTGTTCATGTTTAGTGTCTTGTATCTGTTAGCTATTGTCATAGTGATGTTATCACTGTGCAATAAATAATGACAATAGCTAAGTGATCACAATCCACATAATTTTTGCTCACAAGTTCTCAGGCCTTCTGAGCAATTCCTGTGGTGTTGGCTGGACTTATGTACTACACAGTCAGCTGCAGGTCTATTGGTTAGCTCTTCTGATCATGGCAGGGCTCTCTCCCTTACTATCTATCATCTAGTTTCTTGGGATGTATTCAGTTTCTCTCCACATTCATTCATTCAAAAACATTTAATTAATGTGCTGGAAAGAGCTTCCTAAAGTATATTCATGTCCAGTGGGGGGGAAAATGGCAGCAACTCCCCTACACTAAGGGTTGCCAGCCTAGGTTCACACCCTTCGGAACCTAAGGTTTACATGTGTTCTTCCTCTGGTGCTTGGTCTTAGGGACATCATAACAAGCAAGACAGATAAAATCCCTATTTTCATAGAGCTTATTGTCTAGTGAGGGAAATAAATGACCAACAAGTAAATACTGGTTTTAAAATATACTTCAAACAGAATAAATAAGCCATGGTGATATAATTTAGATGGGTCTTAATTAGGTAACTAATCAGGAAAGGCCTCTCTGTAAAGATGAGATAAATAAGAACAGTAAACCTGTTTGCAATTGATAGAAACCCAGTTCAAATGAATTTGAATTGATAAATACATTGGCTCACAGATACAAAGCATGGGGTGTGCATAGGAGATTTGAAGGAGGGAACTAGTCTTTGGGGTAATTGGAACTATTGCTTTGAATGTTCTTAGAACACAGTCTCTGCCCAGGTCATCGCTGCTTGATTCTCTGTGACATTTTTCTCTTCTCTAATACTATGAATAGGTTTCTTCAACTTACAAGAACATTAATATTCGCAACATTAGCCTTAGAGATTGGTGACCTAAAAGGAAAAGAGAGTAGGTTCCCTCATTTTGAAAGCTTCTCTCCAAGTTTACAAACCTATTAACCAGACTCAGATCTTACAAACCCATTAACCAGACTTAGATCTTACAAACCCATTAACCAGACTTTGATCCACCTCCTGGGAGGATCACTGTAAACAGGGCTGATTATAGCAGCTCACTTTCAGAGGATGTATCTACATTTGGGATAGGAAAACCAATTTTTCTAAAGGGAAATGCGGAGAGCTGACACTAATATGGAAATGGGGGAAATCTTTGCAAGCCTGGCTCTCTTCCTCAAAAATGTACTCATTAAACAGAATTCAAGTGTAAATTATAATAGTATGTTGGCCAGTAGTTGGTACAGAGTTTGATACATTTTTTTAAATAACAATTTTTTGGTAACTTTTGGGTGTTTAAACTTTTTTTCAGGTACAAAATATAAAACTTTAATCTTATTTCTGTTTTTAAAGCTTCTTGCTTTCTTTCCACTCAGGCCCGATCTAGGCTTAAAGACTAGTGGGGAACAGTGTACTCATGACTTTCTTGGACTGTGGAGAACATTGAATCTTCATTTTTATGGGGACCGCTTCTTAACTTTACACTCATCAATTGTTTTTATAAAAATCCTCTTTCTATTGGATCTTTCTCCTTCATGAACCTGTAGGCATGTGATGAGCTGAGTGGCAGAACTAGTTTTAGCTAATTCTTAGCATTTTCTGTGTTTTCCTAAGGTTTGCATTGTCAGCTGAAACTCCATAAAAACAGAAAATATTCCATTTTGTCTTTGAATTCCAATAATTTATACCTTATTTTAATAAATACAATAAACCTAAATTATTCAAGTTTTTTCTTTTAAGTTTTGGGAAAAATTATTGCTTCTTTAATGACAGATAATTATATGATAAATTATACTTTTGAATGAATGGATTTTGACCTCAAGCATTTTATTACACTTACCAAAGTACATGAATATTTTCATAAGTTTATTAAAAATAAATTTAATTTCAGATCCCTTTGAAGCATTCATCATCTTTTCTATTCGCCATGAAATCAGAAGGATTGATCTTCATAAAAGAGACTATAGTCTACTTGTTCCTGGATTGAGAAACACAATAGCTCTTGATTTTCACTTCAATCAAAGTTTACTTTATTGGACAGATGTTGTAGAAGACAGAATATATCGAGGCAAGCTTTCTGAAAGTGGAGGTACGTATGTTACAATTTTAACTTAATGTTTACATTAGTTTTTAACTGAAAATTCCAGAAAATATATTGTAATCAAAAGAAGTTTTGATTAATCTTTGGCTGTTGGTTCTTTAGCTCTTCCCAAACATATGTAAAACCAGGGATGTCACATATACCTGTGAGAATATGTTGGGGGAGTGAGTGGTGAAGGCCTGTGGTATTCATTCCATTTTTAAATTGTGGGCTTTACCACTGACATGTGGTGAAGAAATTTATTTATAAGAAAAAAGTAACTATCTTCTACATGCTAACGATTATATTTGTGAGTTAAAAAATGTTGTTTTTATTTTGTTATAGTCTTTCAGACTATCTCAAAGAAATGGTGAAGAAATTTTTGCGAAGACTGCTAATAGGAGCTAAATATTTTTGCCATGTTTTGACTTATCTCTTCTGTCTAATCTAGGCTTTTTTTAAGTAGCAAGTCTTTGAGATGAATATATATACATAATATATAACAACTTCTCTTGAAACTGTTATATTTGTGTAGCAACTCAATGCCCAGA